GTGGCAGTGGAGCACCAGCCGCGACATCCCCTCGGAGGCACGGACATCTTGGGGCTCCATCACCCAACGGGGTGGCACTGTTTCGCGGCATCACACATACGCACACACACAACGGTGGTTAGTTAGCCCCCGGTTTGCGACCAAGTTTCGCGCACCGTCGACGACCGCCCGTGTGCCATCTGAAATTTCGTTCACCCTCCCTCCCTTTCCTCTGCATTTTACTTGCAGATCTCGTCCACTTTTAACTCACGATCTCCCTCTAACCGACGGTGGCTGGTGTCTCTCCGTCCTCTCCCTCTCTCTCTCTCTTTTCCCTTTTCCCTCGTTTTTTGCAGCAATTATCGCGGTCGGCCTTGTTAGTTCGTTGCGTTTCAGGGGGAGGATGGAGGGACGGTGGTTATTTCGAACGGAAAACGCGCGTCTCGAATTCGTCGATCACTCGCAAACGAGGGAAGTAACGAGGGTAAAGAGAAATGTTTTCACGGATATATACATATATAGTTTCCTCTCGTCCGTTTTTCTTTCTTTTTTCCCTTTTTGTTTTTTTGCGAGAGAAAGAGAGAGAGATATATATATATATATAGAGAGAGAATAGGGAAGGATATTTCAGATGCCACTACGTTCGTTCGTCTAAGCTTATTGCGCCGAGGCAAGAGCGAACTTCTCGAATTGGCCTACTGCAACTTCCTACTTCAGCGCAAAGTGAAACAAAAGACGTAATTTTGAGGGGTGCGCGCGCGCGGTCGACCGAGGGAAGGAAAAAATACACGCATCGTGGTTTCCACTTTATTTTCTACTCACCGTTGAATTTTATCGATCCTCCCTCGTGTAAATTTTCTCCCTCGATCGATCGCTATATATATTTATATAAAATAATAACAGGCAAAAATACAGGAACGGAAAGGAAAAGTTTGAAGGGGTGGACGCAAAAATTTAATCGCGAAAGAGAGGAGAGTTTGAAGAGTACAAGAACAAGTGCGATAATCGACAATTTTCCTGGTGAACAGAACAGGTGTAAATAAGAGGTGAACATTGTTAGATGGATCATAGATGAGAAAGAGAGAGAGAAAGAGAGAGCAATGCAGAAGTCAGTGTTGTGCGGGCATTCTGACTCAAGAACAATGCGGTGATTGTGCATTTGCGAACATACACACGTGGGATGGATTCGAGGCCATTTGTGCGTTGTTCAAATATTTGTGCCGGTCAATTATTTTCGATGCCCGAATCGCCCAACACAAAGGGCCGTATTATTACATGGCGAATAATAGCTGATTCCGCACCACGTATTCCCCATTCCTCATCGTTTTCCTCCTCCGGAAAAATTTGCGAAAAACACGAACGTTTCTCGATTATATATATATATAAAACTCATCCCGTTCGAGTTCATTTTCACACTAATCAATTATTCGCCACGTAATCAACGTAATTAATCGAAACATATAGAATTTATACCTGGTCGATTAAACGGCCTCGGAAAAACGAGGAGTTGTTTTCGGCAAGGGAGAACACAACAAGGTTGGTGTCGCGTTTTTTTCGTGGAATTGGTGCTCCTCGAGTGCTTCCATAATGTGGCCGAGCGAAATAACGAATAAAGGTAAACGGAAAGGCGTGGAAACGGAAGAGAAGTGTGGAAACGAAAAAAAAAAAAAAAAAACAAGAAAATAGAAAAGAACGTGTCGGTGCATATATGCGTGTGCTGATCAAAAGTGAACGAGATACGTTCTCGTTCTCTCAAAAAATTGTTAAGTTCGAGGCTGCTGGCTGGTAAACTCGTAAACACACAAATTCAAGATGAAGTGGTGCTACGCTCGAAGCCGAATTTCGCAAAAGTGGCTGGTGCCCTTTCATGCAGAATCCCTTTCCTTCCCGGAGAGTACCGCGATCGCTGTTTCCGTGTCGTCGAACATCCAAGATGTATTTCTTTGCCACTCGAGTTCAACTTTCCCCCCCATTTTTCCCCCTTATTTACCTCTTGATCGTTCGACGAGGATCTATACAGGATATCAAGGGGAATCAAGACTCGTACACTCGTTTTTCTCGAAGGAGAGGTAGACACAGAGAGAGAGAGAGAGAGAGAGAGAGAGAGAGAGAGAGAGAGAGAGAGAAAAAGAAAGTAGAAAGCGCGCAAGTGTACGTATTCGGGATCGCGGTATCTCGTCGAGCTCGAAGATCGGGAATCAGTGCGGTTTCACAGATGGTGCGTTTGTGAGAGATAGACAACTAGACAAAGTGTACGATGTGATACGCCGTGGGTGATAACGCTATCATATTGTGCGGTGCTCAAGTGCGTTGGTGCGTCGCGTTGCTGGCTGGGCGATTGCTACTGCGGCTGCTGCTGCTGCTGTTGTTGTTGCGTTTTCGTTTTACGATCGTCCTGATTACCGGGTCCAAAGCTGTTCTCTCTTTTTTTTCTCTTTTCTTTTTCGTTCAATCCATTCAGCGCGGCTATCATCGAAGCGTACAGAGACAAAAGTTTAATCGCGATGTTGTCGTTTTCATTTTTTCTACCCACCCGGTATATATACGGTTTTCGAACGTTTCGAGATAATCGATAATGATAATGCATGGAAACGAAACGGCGTTCTTTCAATGACGAAGAGTTGGAAGATCGATCCCATGTCGCGAGCCAAAATTTCGATAATTTTATCTTCGACGAGAGCAATAATCGAGAGCAAAGGTAACACTATTGAGCAGCCCTAGCTCACTCATTTGTCACGCGTGTTCGTTTGAATTACTCGCGATTGCGATGGCTGCTGCGGCTGCTGCGGCTGCATTTATACGTGATCACACAATACCAACGATAACAATAATAATGTAATAAAACGTAGATACGTACGGAGACTGGCTCGTGGAAACGTTCGATTGCTTCGAAAAGATAATATTTGAAAAAATACTTGAAACTTGGAACAATGTGAAAATAATATTTTCGAAGAATGTAACTGCGAAATCTTTGGAAATAAAAAATGCACGAATAGATTGTACATCTCGAAATTAAAGGTAACAAAGAAAAGTTCAAACTGTATCTCGGTATCGAGACAACAGACAAAATCAAAAATTTTTCTTCACCCTGAAGGAAGCCATCGAACGTTCCATCATCGAGGCCAGCCAATGCAAGAAGAAGATATTCGGCAAAATATATATATAATATATGTAATAAGATGGTGCGTTGGCAGTGGTGCAAAAAAGAAAGAAAGAAACATAAGGTGAGAGACGGTGAAGTGAATGGCATTGAAGAAATACATATCACAGTGCGATCTCGTCGTTCCTTGCAAGTGTGGTTTTTTGATTATCCTGATTATCGGTTCTACTTTACCACGAACGATCAACTCGGCCGTCCATAGGACCTCGGCCACCGAATTGCGCGCCATGCAAGTATAGTTGCCCGAGTGCGCTGCGCTCACGCGCTCGATAACTATGGTACTGGAATGGGCGTCAATGTTGGTTACGCGCAGCCCGGCGGGTGTCTGCGTGTGTCT